CGGTCGTACACCCGCGGTGGGAAGGGGAAAAACAGCGCCTTGGTGGACTGATGAATGTAAAAGACGTCAGTTTGACTACAGGACAGCCAAAAGGACATCTGGAGATATAGTAGTGACACGTAGGGCTTTTCGAGCCGCAGTGAAGAGAGCCAAACGTGAATACTGGACAAAGCAAGTCGAGGCAGCAGAGACAGAAGCAAAAGTGTTCAAACTTATGCGATGGGCCAAACCGAAGCCGACGAAACAGCCTCCTCCTCTCCGGGTATCACCAAACGAGTGGCTTTCAGATCCACTAGAGCGGACAGTTGCGTTGCGAGATTCTCTTCTTGCAAGGTATAACGCGAGAAACGACATCGATACGTGGGAGAACAGTCAACCAGAGTTGATTCCATGGGATGGAGAGGTGTCACTAGAGGATGTCACAGCATCAACCATTGGCAGCAAAGAAACAGCTCCGGGGTTCGACAAGATTACCGTACGACTTCTCAGAGCCTGCTGGAGTACGATTGGAACATACGTCAGGGACCTCTTCCAGGCTTGTCTCAACTTGCAATATTTCCCTACGCCTTTCAAGGTGGCGGAAGTTGTGCTACTTCCAAAAATTGGACGCGACCTCTCCAGCTCAAAAGGGTGGCGCCCCATATCGCTACTCTCCAGCTTAGGCAAAGGATTGGAAAGGCTCATAGCTAAAAGGATGTCCTGGCTTGCATTAAAACACAAGGCAGTACCTCCACAACTATTCGGCGCGCTACCAGGACGCTCAGCAGTCGACTTGGCATCATGTGTTATACACGATGCAGAAGCTGCAATGAGATCCAACAAAGTCACAGCTATGGTCACGCTGGACATACAAGGTGCCTTCGATGCAGTGCTACACAATCGGCTGCTCGCACGAATGCGAAGTCAGGGCTGGCCAGTACTACTCTGTCGCCTGGTAGAATCATTTCTGAAACAACGAAAAGTTTTGGTGAGACACGAAAAAGGTGTAACTGATAAGAAGCTTATTGAGTGCGGAGTTCCCCAAGGATCACCACTATCGCCACTTTTATTTATGTTATACATCTCAATCCTACTTGAAGATGGAACCCCAAACTGTATATTCGGATATGCAGATGACATTGCCATTGTTCGCGTCGGTAAAAATCCTAGTGAGGCTGTTGAGGCTGCCCAGGTAGAAGTAGACAGGATAATCCAACGCGCTTCAACGCACATGATAAGGTTCGACCCTTCTAAGTCCGAGCTCCTGGTTATAGGAGGAGGACCGAAGAAGAAACTAGACTCATCCAACCTCGCGGTCAGAGTTGAGGGACAGCTTATTACGCCTTCCGCGTACATTCGATGGCTCGGGGTCTGGCTCGATTCCCAACTCACATTTAGACAACATGTTCAAGAATGGTGTAATAAGGCACAACGACTATCTCACTTTATACGAAGTATTAATAGGGTCCAACGAGGTGCGGCTCCGGGACCATTAATCCGTGCAGTGAACGCATGTGTAGTCAGTACGGCAATTTATGGCGCTGAAGCTTGGTGGCCTGGACTCACCCGTATCACGACGGTACGAGATAAAAGAGTAAGTACGGGTGTCGGATGGCACCACAAATTACTAGATAGAACTATTTTGACTGCTGTTCGAGCCGCACTGCCAGTGTGGCAAACTACACCAAATATAGTTCTGCACCGTGAGTCAGGGATACTACCGGCAGAAATTATACTACAGCAGCGACAGCTCCGAAATGCAGCCAGAATCCGCAGACTCGACAGCTATCACCCTTTGTCGTCAAGGGCAGCTGAGACACCAAAGGAAGCAATTAAGCGACTCAAACTGAGAGAGGGGCAAAAAGATCGTGTCTTCAAGTTTCCAGAGCGATATCTGACACGCCTTCAGAATGGTAACCTCAACCTACCGGCAACAGAAGGGCCTGGACAGCTTTACCAACCGATGATCGCGAGGGCTATGGCTAGAGCCAAATGCGACAAGGAGGAAAAGTCGAAGCGGACTAATCATTGGCTTAGAAATCTCCCTGTAGGGACGCTGTGTGTATATTCTGATGGGTCATCGACTGGTCCAGCCAACTCAGCCTATGGCTATGCTATATACAGGGACAGAGAACTCATAGCGAGTGGTGGAAATTTTCTCCCAGGAGCAGAGGTCTTTGATGCAGAAATCGTCGGGGCAGTTCGAGGCCTAGAAGCGGCGTCGGAAATTGGAGGTAGTATAGGTATCAAGGTACTCCTCGACAATCAAGAGGCGGTAAGAGCCCTTGTGGGTGGTAGAACGAGCTCTTCACAGTCTGAGGTCCGGAATTTTATTGAACTATCCAAGGCTCAGCCTGCCGTAGAAGTCCACTGGGTTCCGGGACACAGTGGTGTTGAAGGGAACGATAAAGCCGACGCAATTGCAAAGGCAGCCCTTGCATCAAAAACCAGGGAAGGAAATATCCCGAGACCAGAGTGCACTCAGGAGGAATCTGACAAAGTCCTGACATTCGCAGCACTTAAACGCCAAGTCACAATACGAGTACAGAAACTCGCGGAAGATTGGTGGCATAAAAATAGATCGGACAGGTATGAAGATCTGGACTTACTGATGCGAAGAAAACGCCCTCCGGAGCTAGCTTTACCTCGATGGGCATATCACCGCCTCATTGCGGCAAGGACTGGGCATGGTGATTTCACTAGCTATCACAGACGATTTCAACATCCCAATGAAGAAATGCGATGCAAATGCGGACGAGAGAAACGGCCATGGCATTTTGCAGAGTGTCGCCCGACCATCCAGAAATGGAGGACGGAAACGAAGGAACCACGACCTACGACAAGGGATATGATAGGGCAAGAAGGATGGCAGATATTCTGGCGCTTTCTAACTGTAACAAAATGTTACAGCAAAATTGAATCATAAACAGGGAACTTGAATGTCAGCTGTATTGCTTCTTAGGGCCGCTCAGTGTGGCACGAGGATGGAGGTGTAGTGCAGGGCGCTAGCACCTCAGAAATGGTGTTTTTTCTTTTTATTTGTTTTGTTTCTGTATTTCTGGCTCCTATGAACCAATCATGTAGGTAGCGAAGAGTCTTATATAGATCTGGACTACCCGTGCCATGCCCCCTGGGTGCTGGGTCAGTACCCGGTCACGATAAAAATATCATTATCATTATCATTATCAATGTGGACCAATTTCTTTGATATTGTGAAATTTGACTGAACTTGGCTCTGGGAGAATATTTCACTCCCAGGTTCTTAAAGGACACCTCGTACAGGTGTTCAGTCTTGCCCTCCTTGAGTCTGTGACTATCTAGCACATTGGGCACCTTTCTGGTCCAGGCCACACTTTATTCTTGTCTTTAATCTAACAAAAGGAAACAGGTATTTACAGCAGTTATCCCTCTCTCCAAACGCCATTCCTAAACAGGTAACTCATTTGTCACCATTGCTAAAATAATACATGAAAGGTCATGAAGTCATTAGCACATTCGACAATCATTGATACATTGCCCGTGATAGATAGTCGTTAAGCTCAGTGCTTGTAAAATTGAGGCATACTTTCCACGGAACCTTCAACCCAGGAATAATTAAAATGATAGCAATGGAAACTGCGTGAGCGGAAAAAAGTCTCAAAACTCCTGCAGCCCAAGCTAGGCGTGGCCTAGACACCGGGACCACATGAGGTGCGCATATTTATCTCTATATCCCTTTGTAACAGTCGAGGCCGACTTCATCCAATCCGCCATCTCTGTATCGGGTACTGGGTACGCTCCGGAAACTCATCGGATGTCTTCTCCGTGATCAAGGGTGGGTGATGAGATGGGTTAGGACCCTACCATCTGATCTGATCGTGGTTAGCTTCATGAAAATGGTCGTAGGGGATAAGTTGAGAGATGAAGACGATACAGGCGGCGAAAGCTATTGGGAATCCTCGTCGAAGTGAGGACTTTGTTACTCAATCTCGGCTCTGCAGACTCTACAAGGAGAGCTGGAGGTTCATAGGGGACATAACTGGCAGGTGTTAAATTTCGTCCCCTTACTCATTGTAGTCTTCACAAATTAAACCTAGAATATGAATCTGAAACAGAAAGAGTCATCCAGCATTTATACAATACACTGATCTTGTCTTAGTTGAATAGCTACCCATATCTGAATGATATCACAAAAATAACATCTAGAGTGGGCCAGAAGAAAAGCCTTAGGCATCACAACAGCCGAGAATTAATCCGAGGCGTTGCCGGTGCCACCACACGGCGCGGGAGTGACGATCCACCTGATGGTTCGTAACGGCGCCTCTCGGCTGTCTAGACGAGTTAGACCGCGAAGATGCAATGAGTATGCAACGGGCGCGTTCCTCGCCCCGGTGAAAGGAAACGACGGGAAGGCCGGGGCCCGAAGTTCCGTGAATGTGACCTATTTATTTTGGGAAAGAGACGATGCGATCGACGTGTGTGGAGTCTAGCTCCATCTGGCTGTTTGTGCAGCGTAAGAACCGTTGCGTCTATGCTGCTACGCGCGCCCAGTGGCAAGGCGCTTAGCCCGATCGGGCATTCGGTTGTCTGCGCGCCTCTGTTCCCGGCAAATCTACGAGATCAGCCTCTGGGCATTGGATGCTTCGGGTGTATGCGTTGCTGGTATCTAGCTGCTATGAGTGTACTTGTCTTTGTCGTCTCGCCACAGTCCAAGTGTCTCGTGGGCGAGAGACTGTGGGACACTTTATTTACTGCGGCCTGACTTAGCTCATTATTTTCTTGACGGCATCGAGTATTTTGAAGGCGTCGAGTGGTTCTCTAGCATCAATTCAAAGACTCGCATGGCATGAAGAGAAGCTTATGGGAATGGGCAAGCACTTACGACTTCCGATTAGGCATGAGGTGATCTCCGTTTCTGGCCTCAACTAGGCGGGGAAGGAAAGTAGCAACGACGATCAACATGGAGTAGGTGACCGCTCTATTCGTCATTTGAGATACATCAGTTTCTCCTAAACCTAAGACATAGATGCCTTCTCTGCCCGTTAGATCATTTCCGTATCGCTTTCCGAGCCGAGCTCTGCTTCTCCTTCTTCTTCCTCCCTTTCGCGTCGTGCAACTTCCCGACTCTGTCCAATCTTTCGCAGACCATCCATGACACCGGTAATGAAAGCTCGACCCTGCGCAACCTCCATGGATCCAACCCCCCGTAGACTATTGATTCCGCCGCTGTCTAGCTCTTTGATACTACTTCGCATCTTGGCCATTCGTACTTCGCGAAGATCTCGAAGCAGGCCACGCACCACTTCTGAATCGGGTATATCTTCGCTACATGCCTCGAGTAAGATTTCGCCCAACTCGAGCCAGTGATAGGGTAGATGGTCGGGTGAGGCGTTGACAGTTGACGAGGGAAGGAAGGGCGGAGAGATGCGGTCGGTCGAGGCAGAATATGCAGAGACTGGATACGGATGTGGAGGCGGTGGAGAGAAAGTTAGCGGTGATACCTCCGTCTCATAGCTCAGAATCTGCTGGAGAGATGGCGCGAGGAGCCATGGCGGCGGGAGAATGTTGGCGCGGCCTTGACGCTTGAGAAGCAGCGCGAGCCATAGGGGAAGAGGTGCTTGGAGGGGCGGTCGAAGAGTTGGTATGGCGCCCTACTCACTGGCATTGTCAGTTAATACTGTTGTCTGGTAGCCGGCTGTAAGTCTATTTGTAAGGTGGGGTAGAGGAAGAGCGACGCGGCTGCGGCGAAGGGCAAAGGCTCACCCCCAGTAACTTTAGACCCTCTAGCCGTTGTCGAGGTACAACCGTCACCATCTCCATCTCGCAGAGAAATGCAACTTCGAGAGGTGTCAGACCGGTCGGTAAGGGTAACGCCATGTTGTTTGGTTATTTACAGTTGCATCGTCTTACCACCTCATCCTCCTCGAAGCTTGCCGACGCGATGGAGCTAACGCGTGATCAGGTGACTAGAAATTGCCCGCAGACTTGTGATTCACTGCACGCATGCGCCACAACTAAGACCGAAACGAATCATCCCCTAAACCCTTCATGCCCTTTGTACCACGATTTTTAGGGTCAACGTCTCTTCATAGGTAACAAATAGTTAAGGTCATATCCTTGCAAGTTATCGAAGATATCGCTGTTAGTGTGACTACAATTCAACATGGGGCGGCTACACAGCAGCACACTGCTTGGTCCTGGCACCGTGTAATATTCCCTTCATGATACCTAGATAGGAAGTAAATTCAGATTCTCAAGATGCGCAATTCTAAGCTATTCTAAATTATTTGCTGGAGCTAAATTTCCCTTCCCGATGCTAGTAGGATTTTTCCGCTAGTGCAACAGTCTTGTCGTTATGCTTGTGATACCAAATACGAATGCAGAATGCCAAAGCATATGCCCTTGTCTTGTTCTAGTTCTCCGTAGCATAGATCTGAACGTATTCATATAATTATATGTATGACTATTTGTAGTATCGCTATATTCAACTTCTCTTAAAATATTGTTTCATTGTTGGTGAAGAACAGTCACCATTTCCCGATCAATCATGACACCGCATTGTCAGCCACCATCCCATCTCGATCTAGGAAGTGCAGTATATCTAGAGAAAAACTGTAAATTGACTGGCTCGACGGTCATTGAATCGATTTCACCGACTGTTTTTGATCAAAAAGCTACCCAGAAGCTTCTTCGCAAGCTAGACTTTCACTTAGTTCCTTTTCTGGCAGTGCTATACCTGTAAGTCTTCACCCCACCATGAACACAAGACTAAGCCGAACCAGCTTATGTTTCCTAGATCGCAGTAATGTGAGCAATGCTCGCTTGGTCAAGCTCGAAGAAGATCTCGGCATGAAGGGGCTCGATTATAATCTTGCCTTGGCACTCTTTTTTCCCTTTTACGTTATCGCCGAGATTCCAAGTAACATGTTGATGAAACGACTACGGCCCAGTGTTTGGTTGACTATAATAATGGTCTCCTGGGGTTTAATAACTACCTTTATGGGGCTCGTTCAAAACTTGGGAGGGCTCATAGCATGTCGAATTTTCCTTGGTATCGCTGAAGGCGGTCTTTTCCCCGGTGTAAGCTACTTTATAACTATGTGGTATCGTCGACATGAGTGTGGTTTTCGCATAGCCCTTTTCTTCTCAGCAGCAACAGCAGCAGGCGCCTTTGGGGGACTCCTTGCCCGCGGCATCGCCGAGATGGATGGAGTTGGAAATAGGGCTGGATGGTCATGGATTTTCATACTTGAGGGACTTTTAACCCTGATAGTGAGTGGTTTTTCTTCTTCGTTTGTCCATGATTATCCCGCTTCGTAGGTGATACCTTTCTGGTTCTTCGAGCCTCGACTGACATTTCTCAGTGCTAAGTTTCTGAACGCCGAGGAGCGAATTGAAGTCCAGAGGCGGCTCTTAGAAGATGATGGATCCTCCGACGAGTTCAGTGTAAAATTTTTTTACCAAGCCCTCCGAGACTGGAAAATATGGGTCATGATGTTCATTACCATTGGCATCTTCACACCGCTGTATTCTATTTCACTTTTCCTACCCACAATTATTAATCAATTTGGTTATTCTAACAACACATCACAATTACTCACCGTTCCGCCTTACCTCGTGGCATGCTTCTGCACAATCGTGGGAAACTATGCAGCAGATAAGATGAGACAGAGAGGTCCATTCCTACTTGGATTTGAGACGATTGCCGTTGTTGGATTTTTGATGCTCATCACCAGCAGGATTCCTCATCTGCAATACGCAGGCGCCTTCTTCGCCGCATCAGGTCTGTACATGACGAGGTATTGATGCCGTATTTTCTGACAATCTTGAAGGGATATACCCACTTGTGCCGCTAATTACGACTTGGACTGGCAATAACATCGGCGGAAGTCTCAAGCGAGGGGTCGGAATCGCAATGCAGGTTGGGTTCGGCAACCTCGGGGGGGTAATTGCCGGGTTCGTTTATCTTTCCAAGGATCAACCACGGTGGGTATTGCTACGGCAATCCTTTCACAGCTAACCCTGTGCTGATCTCAGAGCCAGATTTATTCCAGGTCATACTATTTTGATCGCACACGTTCTTATGTCGTTTTTACTGACAATGTTTATGACTTTATATTTTCGGCGTGAGAACACTCGACGAGATGCAAGACTAGCCTCCCGGAATCTAGCCATTGAAAGTTACACTGATAATATGAAGTACAAAGAGCGTGAAGAGGGGGACGATTCTATTTTTTTCCGGTATACTACTTGAACGGTCCATCGGAGGTTATTTGATTTCATCTCAGGAAATGCTGTCAAAAGTTCTAGGGTCCAAAGGTGTGGCTCCTTTGGTTTACAAGTCTGCGGAGGTTGATTGTTTTCAATTCCTGACTCGATAGAAATGAGTTTCCCCAGTATTAAAGTTCAACTGTAGGGTAACTCTGTTTCAGATTGTTTAGAGACGGTAAGATTTGTTGCTCTAGTATTGAACAATCGTATCTTTCTACATGATACGAGTTTGTGGCGTCTTTTTAGTTTTCAAATATCGAGATCTGTGTCAATTATGACTAAACTATGGCCTGCTTTACCATGCAATAACTCTTTGTTTCAAGCGTGTGAACATTTCGTAGTCTGGTGTTCTATACTTGTCACTTCCCAAGCCATGAAATTGTCTCAACTCAACTAGCTCACTCGGGATTCATCTTGGTATGAATTAGCCCTCAATCGCGGTTTTAGGATACCCTCAAACTCTCTTTCCTGGCTGGCGTCATTCTCTACTCCAGATGATAACGTTATAACCCTTAATCACCAGGTTGTTTCCCGCTCCTTAAGCTTGACCAGCGGGTTTATTAGCTGCCAGCATTTTGCAGGAGCATCGGTTACCTATTGTTCCAAATGGACTTTTATCATGTGCTTCAGTACCATTGTTGGCCAGTCTCTACATCAGAAGCTTTCTGAGGTCCGAGTTCAAAAGTTTATTTTGTCATATCATGCAAAATTGCAGAAAAAGTGCCGAGTGCTGGTTTCGTGAGGTGTCTTGTCATCATAACTTCCCTAATGGTGTGCTAGTTCTCCTGAATCAATGTACAAGCTATTGCCGCCAACTTATTACCACTTGACGATTCATTTAAGGAAAAAATTACACCACTTATTCTAGCGGTAACTGATGAATTACTCTCGCTTGGTAAAAAGCACTCCGATGACATGTTATGGCGAAATTCTGAGCGTAAAATTGACTTCCACACTAAAACTTTAACACTATTTTATAAGACCCATTTTCAATAAAATTTAAAGACCTCTCATGACCGGGCATACCTGGTCCTAATGTAAGGTAAAATCTGTTGAAGATTTCCAGGTCACCTTTTCATGAAGTATTTTGTCATCAATGTAGTTTCTTGAGGAAATCTCTGCCCCTAAATCTTCGTCCGAGATAGAGTTGAGGAGCTTCTATGTGGATGAGGCATGCGAGCAATCGAACAAATGAGATTAGATTAAGGTTCTTCAGGCTAATTCTATCGTCGTAGCTACAAACTTTTTACTACAATGAGAGGCGCTACAAGTGGAATAGTATTCACTCTCGTCCGTGCGTCGACATGACGCTAGCAACAAGAGGCTGCGTAGTATCAAACACATGGCCAGCTGATTAAGACCTGATCATGGTCGGCAAGCCAAGACTTGATTATTTGCTACAGGCCTAAGTATTTTGATTCTTAACAACTTGGATTCAGTAATATGTTACTCACCGCTGTCCCTCAAATTAATATCAGTAAATACGATTGAGCAGCTGGCAGCATCTCCCTTTCCCTTTCAACTTGAGGTATTCTGAAGTTATGTTGCACTCAATAAAATTGCTGTATCGCCGATCATATAAGTCTCTCGGCCAATTCAACTTACTTGAGATTGTCTAGATCTCTATGGAATTACGTGAAAGAAAATTCAGGTTGGTGTCTTTCCAAACTAAAAGGTTTCAAACAACTGAAGAAGATAAATCTAGTTCTCAATCATCTCGCGTTCAGCATTTCTTTCAATGTAGTCCGCTCTTCCAAATTAGGTGCTTGAAACTCTTTGACGATTCCTGAGTACTAGGATTGATGAAGGGTGGATGTAGCGCTTGAAGCTTAACACGATCGCGAACTACCCCGCCATCCGCTCTTACTAGGGGAAGGGGTTCACCTTGAAACCAACCCATGGTATTCAAGATGATGCACGACCTGGAGACAAGAGGGCCGGGCACTAATTTTAAAGCTTCTCAGAGTTTTCCCCAAACATTTCTATCGATATCTGTCTTTCTTTCTAAACAACACGAAATAAGTGACGGTAAGAAAAGAAGATGAGACCGTAGGTTGTCCATACTGAAACCACAGGAAGTCCCGAATACTTGGCCGGGAAAACGCATGTCAATATAAGATTGCTCTTCGACCTGGAAATACTACAGCTCTGAGCTATCATCACGAGAACAAACAATCAATCTATCAATATCATTAACACGTCACAGTCTTCCTATCCACCGCCAAAATTTTCATGAATTTCTCAGCCTTCAAAAGCATGCATACCGATAGACTCCTTCAACTAGGCCTTCGTGTCACCCAATGTGTTTCTGCCATCATTATCCTTTCTCTTTGTTCATTCAGTTCGTATACCTCCTCAGTTATTTTTTTCAGACTAATAAAATTTAAAGTTGATCAATGGACCCTTAAAAGCCCATCATATGGTAGACACGCCGCCTCGCCTATCGGATTTCTTATCTTCACTTCCGTCTTCTCTCTTATTTCAGGTGCCTATTTACAGTTCGCGCCAAGTGTCTTGCCGCGTAACCTTCAGCGATATGCGCCCTTGCTACTCATCTCCCTCAACGCACTCTTTTATATTTGTGGCTTCATCGCATTGGCAGTCTACCTCTCCAATCTAAGTTACTGCCGGGGTGCAGTGTGTGATTCCGCCAAGGCCTCTTGCTTCTTTGCTGCATTTTCATATCTAGCATGGATTGCCGAAGCAGTATTAGTCGGATTAGCTATTATTAGAAGCCAGAGGGGTGTGCCATTGCCTCTAAAGGACGACTATGAAGACCAAGATGAACGTGAAGAGCCTGTGGAAAATTTCAAGAGAAAAGACATTGGATCTGGCGAGAAACTCAGCGACGTAAAGCTATGAGCTAGATTGCCAAAAGTCCGTGTTAAGGCCAATATTTTAATCGGGGATCATTGGTGGCTATGCTGCACCGAGGCTGCGTGGCGTTCTGTCAGTTGGTTTTTTTTTTCCAAAATCATATCATCGTGTAATGTGTTTATAGGTCGCTAGACCAACTAATGTCAATATGAAATTTGTATTTAATGGATGTGGGATTACAGATAAACTCTACCTTGGGAGTTATACTCGGACGGTTAACATGGTTGACGGTTACTTTGTGCCTAATTAAATTATCGAGGATATTTCGGCTTATCTGTTTCATGGTGGAAGATAACAAATGACCAATATAAGTACCGCTGACACAAGTTAAACCTGCGCTCATTCGCTTCTGGGATTCGCTCGTGATGTCGAATATTTGAAGCTTAATTTATCATAATTCTAGCGTGCAACACGAGAGCGGTGTCATAGCGATAGAACTAAATACACTATGAATTAAAAAACCAAGAATGTCCACACACCGCTAGGCTCAGTCTATCTGACCCACCGAGAGTACCAGCGTACCCAGCAAAATTTGAGTGTGTAACAGGCCATCACGTTGCCAAGCACCCACGATAAAAACAAAATCGCCAGGAAAATGTGCGTGTAAACTGCGAGGCACCCAATTCGTGAAGCAGAACTAGAGGGGTGCAATGGTTCTTACAATTCCCTCAAAAAATGACTTCACATTCATCACTTCTCTTTCAATCTAGCTTCCACTATGGTCACGGTCCGGAATATATCCTATTCAGTAACCTCATGCTGGTATTTGCTATTGAACATAAATTCCTGATCCTCACAAGAATATGCGCTGGGTGTAAGTTCCAGTATTTACAACTAATTTCCACAAATAGAAGCCTCCATAGTCTAGTTCATGTGCCTTTGATGGGTATACTGTCGGATAAACGGTTGCGTGAGGGGGACGATTCTCAACACCTGTCAGTGGTGTCCCCTACGAACCTCCAGCCCTCGCTGTAGAGTCTGCAGAGACGAGATTGAGTAAAAAAGTCCTCACTTCGATAATGATTCCTAGTCGCTTTCGCCGCCTGTATCTTCTTCATCCCTAAGCACATCACCCTATCACCATTATCATGAAGCTAACCACGATCAGATCAGATGATGGGGTCGAAGCCCTACTCGTCACCAACCTTTGATCATGAAGGAGAAGCCATCCGATGAGTCTCTGGAGCGTACCCAGCACCCGATACAGAGATGGCGGATTGGATGAAGTTGACCGCAACTGTTACAAAAAAGGGAGATATAGATGAATATGCGCACCTCATGTGGTCCCGGTGTCAAGGCCTCGCCTGGCTTGGGCTGCAGGTTTTTGGAGACTTTTTCCCACGCACGTAATTTCCATTGCTACCATTTTTTATTTTTTTGGTAGAAGGTTCCGTGGAAAAGGTGGCTGAATCCACGGGTAAACACTGAGCTGAATGACTATTCATCAAGGACAATATATCGGTGATCTTACAAGTAACAAAAGAGGATAGGAGCACTGTACAAGGTATTGCCTGGGTCAGAGAGGAACACAATGTGCTAGATATTCATAGACTCAAGTAGAAAATGAACAAAACACACACATACCGAATTGGGGTTCCTCCTGTGTAAATATTATAGCTATATATACCTGCATGGGCCGATAGGGTACCTGAGCGGGCTAAATGAAATCAAATCAAATTCTGACATATTGTGTTCCGTGACCTGCATGTGGAGTTAAGTTGATTACTCTTCATGTACCTCCTTTGCCATGCGCAAATCCATGGTAGATACTGAGTTGAATGGTGTTGGAAATGGATACACGGAGTGTTGTGGACGTACGGGCCCTCCATTTCGTCTAGGTTCCCGACACGATCTCGTGTGTATTTAAGAGGTTGGAATAGGTAATATGGTAGCGCTTCAGGCTATCTATTGGAGATATGAGCGGCTGTTTGGCGTGGGCACAAGGAGGTTATTGGGGGTTTTCTATGCCTAGATGGCGCCACACTCGTTTATGGTGTGGCTTAGGCTCTGTGTCGCTTACACTTGTACTTGTAGCGCACACTTTCCACACTTTTAGCCGTAATCCGAACATGACACTCTTTTAGTCAACTTCTACTTTCATTTCATGAATATTGCGCCCATTTTATTGCGCGATATTTCCAACAAATGGCTATCCATTACGGGCAATATATCAATGATCTTTGAAGTAGCAAAAGAAGATAGGAGCACTGTACAAGGTGGGGCCTATATCAAAGAGGAGCCCAATGTGCTAGATATTCTATGACTCAAGTAGTACAATAGATACACACAGAACGGTTGCGTGTCGCGTTCTCTTCATAAGCTCTGAATATGGGCGCCTCAGGCAACTAGAGCAGTAAGCTCTGGCGTCTTTTACCCGGCTGGGTGTATAGAGCAAAGGGCTAAGGCTCATTCTAATTAGACGTAAGATTAAAAAATCTCGAGAAACTCTCCTTCTCCGCAAAAATGTGGAGTAAACTGGGAGTTCCACGGAATGGTAGCTATGCGTAGGTTAGCGAGAGATCGTCCTAGGCGCTGATTAGATATATTTCTTGAACCATTCCCTGGGAGGATAATACAGCCACTCCATCTCCATCTCCGGCGATAGACGAGATTTGTCTCTCGGGGAACCCTTCGTTTACAGCACTGATATTTTAAAGAAAGCCATCTGGCAGTCTATCTGACATGGCCTATCCTATGCCTACCGTGCTTCGAAGTTCTTCGTGAGATGCGATTGCACTTGTCATGGTATGTGGATTCCATCTTGGACCTTTCGTAACTGCTTCAAATAGCCTCCCGTCCCTGTCTCGACGCTACCACGTCACTTGTCGCAGCTTCGAAAGACCGAATTGCCGATTTTCGCAGCATTTTCCTATTGCTTTGGCCCATTCGGGAAAACCAACGCCAGTTGCTTTCCTTATTTGGGGTGGATATTCACATTGGCATTGTGGGTTCCGACTCGTGGAACGTTTCTTGGGTGCAGGTAAGCATTGAGTCTGATTAGCTCGCTATTTTCTTTAATTATTCATGTAGTTTTGAGTTATCTAGCCAAGGCACATGATCAGTGTCCCGTACATATGTTGGGAGACTCCCTTGACTTCAGACTCTCATATTCTGTATCGTATTCGGAAAGACCGCTATGAGGTGTTTTTGCTTACGCAAAACAGTAAGCTCTTCGCCGCGTGTGATTGTCAAAGGGAAGTTTCAAAAGCTCTGGTGATGCAGGCATGCCTTCGTCATGCGTGCATACGAGAAGTGCGAGGGATGTGGTGGAGTCTCTGTGAACGCGAACCAGCCATTTCCTATCTCAAGTGGGACAGGTATCCGAGCTTTTCAGACTTTTTGAGAGACCACTTTGTATGCTTTACCACTAAACCATGACTGGATATGCAAGAGTTTTGGACAAGCTCGTTTCTACGAATCGATGGAAGCTCGCTAGAGGTGCAAAGTTTGGGCACGGGCCAGCAAAAGATTGTCTGTGCTTGACGTGAAACCCAGCAGAGCTCCCGCCTCAATACGAGTACGTTAGTGAAAAGCAGGTGTGACTCAGGCATCACCGAGCCCAGCTTAGTGGAGCGCAGTTTGGCTAACTGGGACCGCTGGAGTAGGTTTGCCAGGTCAACATATCTCGAGTGGAAGTCTTAGTTCTCGTAACAAAGGCTTGTCAGATATGTTGGTCTGCATGTATAACTGAAGAGAAGTCACTTCTGTGTAGAAAAGACATGTACTTCTGGCGGTGGAATTGCATGTCTCACGCGCGCCCATAGCAGCTCGCAACTATTTATCAAAGCTATCGACCCTTGATTTCCCATACCCCATAACCGGAGACAATGGAATAGACTTTTCTTCCTCTATTTCGGGAGAACCCAAGTTCTGTGCAAGGTCATTAGTGAACCAGCCTCGATGGAATCCTTGAGTTTATGAACCTTCAGCGCTTCTCGCAACTTGTACCAAGCGGCAATTCAACCAAGTCTTTTCTCTCGTCGTCCTGCAAGCCGTGCAAAACAAGATATATTGTTGGACTGGGGTAGCAACGAACAGATGACTCTTCTCTTCATGCTGGATGGTGTGAGTGGTTCATCGTCTTGGCCGGTCTCCTAAATAAAGTCTGAAAAGCTCGGATACCTGTCCCACTTGAGATAGGAAATGGCTGGTTCGCGTTCACAGAGACTCCACCACATCCCTCGCACTTCTCGTATGCACGCATGACGAAGGCATGCCTGCATCACCAGAGCTTTTGAAACTTCCCTTTGACAATCACACGCGGCGAAGAGCTTACTGTTTTGCGTAAGCAAAAACACCTCATAGCGGTCTTTCCGAATACGATACAGAATATGAGAGTCTTCCAACATGTATACGGGACACTGATCATGTGCCTTGGCTAGATAATTGTATACACTTAAATAGTACAAAAACCTCCTCTTCGACGCAATCTCTGGCCTCAAATGGCCTACTAGAGCCCATGTTCGTACGTAGAGCACAGGGATGAAACTGGTAGTTAGCCTCACTACTAATCGTTGCGCAAAGCCTTATCATTCTTCGTACAGACATGTGGTCAGGGTTGAGGTCAGGCCGAATTTGCATGCCGACTTAAGGAGGACAACTGAGGTCTACCTGACCAGTCTCTTTCTTTCCGCCCTTGTGGATGGTAATCGCGACCATGGTCGAGTAATATGGGGTTTCGTATCTATTGAGAGAGAGACATAACAGTCTGCTGATAGTGTTAGATTGTAGGTTGAAACGATAAAGCTAGATATCAAGGTCGAAGAGGTATCGTTGTACGCTGATTTGCTTTTTTTCATCTTAGGCCGTGCCGCTGCGCTGCGCTAGACTACGACGGGCAAGTGCCGCTTAGCTCAGTCCATGAGGCCCCCAAACGAGCCTAGAAATGCAAACGGCGAGGTCGTACCACTGTTCAGCGCCTCAGAAAGTTTTGATAGTTATGAAAAAACGACTGCCGACCCCAACCTTCCCCGCCGTAGCCTCCA